GTGTGGTGCTTTTAAAAGTAAACAACCCCAATCAATTTCTTCTTCAACAACATATTTGTTCATGCAGAGTCGCTGCCTGTTYCTCGCCCTGAACAGATGTAAATGTTATGCTGACTGTTATTTCTCTTCTTCATGTTTGTTGCAGCTGTGTGCATAAAGGAGGGCAGCGCTGTGGTCAGCGGTGGTCAGGTGAGCAGGAACCTCACCTACAAGGATCACGTTGTGGAGCTGACGTACGAAGGAGGAAGCCCCTGCTCAGCAAACCRCGCTCTGAAACACAAAACCATCATCCAGTTTATTTGCAGGTACACCTCCCTTAAACTATCAGTTTTAATTTTTATGTGTTTTATGAGTTTATTCTGTGAATATAAAAATCTCTCAGTTTTAAGTTAGTTTTAAACAAAATATTTTGAARTGGGATTCTACTGAGAAGCAATGAACAAATATTATCTTACCTGTTGTAAAAAGCCATTTGAACAATAGCAGTTTAAAGTGCCTGTGGCATGCATATCAGTCAAAAACAAAAGGTCAAAGAAAAGATCTTTATTTAAGAAACTTGGCATAATACACAGGATTTTAACTATTTTGTCACACAACTTACACATTTTCTTTTGAACTAGCCAAGTGAAACAGGAAGTGCCATCAAAGGGGAACTTCCTGATTTTTGCTTAATGTGTCAATAAGATTTGAACTCTGACTCTTTATCTCTCTTATAGTGACTCAAAATAATTTAAAGAAAGATCAGATTCTTCTCTACAGTCTGCATTCTTAGTTATTATCAAAAAAWTTTTCAAATAATTGACATCACAGACACTTTAAAAACTTATACTTTGGTGTCAGTTTTGCATCATTTGCTAATTTCCACAGAAATGTCATAATTATTCTAATGATTATCAGATATGCCCCATCACTTGTTTTAAATTTTTTTTCATAAATCACAAGCTGTGTTTCCATTGCAAATGTGCGCAAAACTTTGTTGATATTCTGTTAATGTCGAAAAAACACAGTTTTGCAACTGCGGTGTTTCCATTAAGTAAGAAATGCTATTAAAGTCACGTGAATACGTTTGTTCTCGCGATAAAGCATTACAAACATGGATGGATGGAAGCACATAGCATGTTGCTACCACGACACTAGCGCTCATCATCAGAGGAGACGTCGGTGTCTTTTAT